CACCATTTGCTATCCATGATAAGTTAGGGATAAAATGTATTAAGTCTCTTTTACCCTTGTTTCCACATTTGAAATTGGATTTTTTCTTCCCAGTTCATTTGTGTACATAACTAAATTGAATAAAAATAATAATCTGCAACATATACAAATAATAATAATAATAAAGCAAAAGAATAATGATTAGATTTTTTTCCTAGTTCATCAATCTGTTAAATAAAACATCATATGCAATACACAAAACAAAGATGAGACCAAATTGAGTAAAAAATTATGTGAAAGACCCAAACAACAAGATTGATGATTCGAAAAGCTGAGGATATCATCCATCCCCACCATCGCCCCTCCTCTTCCGCCGTCGCTGTCTCCACCGCCTCCGAGCTTGATCTTGAACAAACTGCTCAGAACCAGCAGTAAGAGCAAGCGCTTTCAGCCGCTGCCCGCGTCGCCTCCACCTCACCCCCTCTTCCTCTCCTGCCGCCGTCATTCTCCATACTCAGTTCTCTTTTAAAAAACAGTGTGAAAGAGCTCAATCTTGATGGGTGGGAACGATGTGGATTCTTCCGTCGGTTAATGGTTGATGTTGTAAATTTCTTGCACACAAAGGTTAATTTGGTCAAAAAATAGAAGATTTTGGGGCTAATTGGTAATATTGGGATGAAAAGAGTCACACCCTCCACCCGAGATTTAATTGTCTTGAATATGCAAGACTATAAATGTATTTCATTCCGAGCCGAATCTAGTCTAGAGGCCAGAAACATGGCTAGCAAACAATGGATAAGCCTAGGATTCACCTGGTAATCTTGTCCTATCATGCCTAACAAACGGGGCCCTAGGTGATTTTTTATTTGCCTCTTGGGAATCTTTTAATCAAGTGTGATTTAATTTTAATATTTTATTTTAAGCAGTCCGATTTACACGCCTGCTGAATGAATTGAAAATAATTGCATACATACCGTTTGAGAAAAACATTAGCATCTATACGGGATTTGTGGTAAAGACCCATTTGTCTATTCAGCCATGATCTCTATGTCTCCAACAGTTTTATGAGAAACCAAGTCTTGCCAATCGATAAAAGACTAGATCTTTCCATAGACGCCGCCAATTCGATAGATGAATTGTATTCAAATCGGGTTTAAACTGGCACAACCATGAACCACCTTTCGCCTTGAGATCTGGTGACCTGCAAAAAACAATGGGGAAGGGTCCTGGCTAAAAATCTCCGACACTCAAGCCAGATTTCGTTCATGGATTTCTAAAACTTTATATTAAAGCGAATATGCGTCAAGTGAATAGAACTTGGTAACCTATTATCTTCGTGCTCAAACAACCTCATTACTTGGAAAGAGATCCTACCATATCTAAGATTTTTTTGTTCTATGGTGCTTGCATTAACCTCCTGGTATAACGTACGCCATTCTTCTTTTGTTACAGTAGACTTGATAATTTGTTGTTCATCTGCTCAATTCCATATCCTCGTTTTTAAAGAAAGAATTAAAGATGCCATTCATGATTTGTCGGGGTACTCCAGTTTTTTGAAATACTGGAACTCTTTTTGCAATTTTTCCTTTTACTCTTTCGAGTATGGTATCAACTTCAAATTTTGTTTATGCCACATGGAAGTAACCACTAGGCAAGTTTTTTTCACCTGTTCTGGGTTATCATAGATACCCATTTTTGGTCCTGTGTGTATACATACCATTGTTTTGCGCGTTCCTCTTCTTGAAATTTTTCTGGAACCACTTTGTTTTGTACCAAGGCATCTCGGTATTCCGTAATGACTTTTGGATTGTTGTTGGACGATGAAGGTTCGTATTTTTCAAGTCTTTCAAGAATTAATTCTTGATTATTTCGGATTTTTTCAATATTTTCCCAAAGAGGAGTGTTATTTATTCTACTCATTTTTCAATTATTTGGAATTTAAGCATTTTTAGCTTATTTTTTTGATGATTTTGTAGAGTTTTTTTCTTTAAAAATAAGATTTAAGGGTATATATGTCTTTCTACATATTTTTATGGGTTTTTGAATTAGTTTTCATAAAAAATTTGATCATTATTTACACAATTTTTGGTTTGGGGGTGGTCACTTGAACTAATTTCCTCATATAAACGAGCCTTGAGGGAGAAGGCTGACGAAACAAAACGGGTCGTATATGCGTAGAGTTTCCTCGTCTGCGTTAATCGATTCTCGATTGAGCTGTGAGCAAATAGCTTAACCTGCTCAATTATCGTACTCGAGGAAAAGTACGTCGAATATGTAACGATCGAATTTATGTTTCATTTTCTAATGAAATCTGTGTATTTGTTTTTTAATTATGTGTGAATCTTGGATTAATCACTGGGAAAACTGGATTGATTGATTGATTGCGTTCCAGGGATTCAAAATTTCGATTAATTTTCCCACAGTTATCTGCAGGTGAAAGGTGAAGTTGTGTTTGCAAATTGATCTTTGGTAGAAGTTATAGAACTAATTGGGTTTAAATTTTTCTCAGTCTTACTTGTAGCCTTTCCTTCTGCTTTCCGTGTAAAATTGATACATTTGAACAATGATTGACATGCTTTCAGCTGCACAATTGTCTGAATTATGGGTTTCTCATTATAGTTCTGTCGACTTCAGAAACTGTGTGATTTTGGTTTGTTGCAAGTACAATGGGAAGTGCATTGATTATTATTTGCGTAGCATTCTTATGAATATTGGTTAGGATGGTGGGCGTGATTCAATCTTTCCCAAGTTGTATTAAAATGTAAAAACTACTTAGACAATGTCATCGACAATATCGTTCATAGGTTTGTGAATAGTGCATACATCTTGGTTTTGCAGGTGTCAGTTTTGTTGATTAAGCAAGTGATTATTTAGTTCAATGGATGAAGAGGAAGAGGACAGGGTTCTACTGAGCACTTTAGGTGTAACATCTGCAAATCCCGAGGACATTGAGCGCGACATTTTGGAGAAGGTTAATTTGGTTCATTTGAAGCTCATATCCTGTTTTGCTCGATCAAGTTACTTCCAGTATTGTATATGCTGCCAAAATATTTGACAATATTGTTGTGCTTGATATATTTCCATGGAAGAGATCATTTCATTTTATCACATTAGCCGATTCACATTACTTCAGTTTTAGTTCACTGTCCTCTTCGGGAGATAGTATGACATATATCAAATGCCAAGTTTTGTTTCTCTTATTTAATTTTCATTTTTTCAGTATCTTCTGCTCCTCATATCACAGTGCACTGCAGTTAAGGGGTCTGATTATGTTGGGTATCATAAAAGTAGTACTAAAGTAAACTAAATTTTACTGACTACATTATACTGATTGTTAAATTAGATACTCTGTAATTTTTGTATGTTTTTCTTGTCATTTTTGTTTTAGTTTTGCTTCGAGTCTATGTAATTTTATTGTTCAGATATTGTTATTATAATTTTATTTTAAGAGTGTGTGTGAAGTGATGGAGGCTTTTCATGATATAGGTGACAAAAGATGTGGGAGACAGTGACAATTCTGCTGGAGGCAGGGTGGGTGAATCTGATGAGACGGAGAATAATGACACGACATCTGCAAGTCAAGGAAACCTCGTGAACAAATTGAAGCAAGTTAAGATTGAAATAGAGGCGGTCACATCCGCTCTGGAACAGTTAGAAGAGAACTCCAACCAGGACGATTCTCCCGATGTTCATATCATAACCGAGCAGGATAATGCTGAGATTGAGAAGAATATTCTTCAACAATCTGCAAATCACTCGACCCTTCATCATGCGCTTGCCGCTGATCGATTGAGAAGCTTGATCAAAACAAGGGATCAACTTGAGAAGCAAATATCAGATGCTTCCAAGAGTAGTCAGCATGATAACAGGTTGAAAATAAATGAAAAGTCCAGAGACAAGGAGAGGTTTAGAGAGGTTGAGAGAAACAATCAGAAACCTAACAAACGACTTAAAAGAGTTCCATTTGGTGAGGATGATGATTATGGTGCTGTTTTAAGTGCAGCATCTGCGGGTTTTGTGGAAACAGTGAGTGATTTTATTACTTGGATGACTGTAATAGATGGTTATAAATAATTCTTACTAAATACGTTGTTTGAGTTGTAGGAAAGGGATGAGTTGATTCGTAAGGGAATTTTGACTCCCTTTCACAAGCTCAAAGGTTATGAACGTCGTATTCAAGAACCAGGGTCATCCAGCAGGCCTGTGGTCTCTGTGGACACAGTAGAAGTTGATGATCTGGCCTCGTCAAGCATTGCCAGAGCAGTCAAGTCTATGTCTGAGGCTTCAAAATCTCGTCCTTCAACAAAATTGCTCGATCCCGAACTGTTGCCGAGAGTTGATGCACCAACCTTCCCATTTAAAAGGCTGAGAACACCGTTGAAGATCCCTCAATCTCTTCAAATGGAAACCGAGAAGGAAAAAAGATGCAAGAGAAAGAAGAGAAGGCCTCAACCTGGGAGGAGGTGGACAAAGTTGGTCTCTCGTGAAGAGAATCCACAGGAAGGTGGGTATATCTTCAAGGTTATGGGAACTCATCTGTCTTCTCATATTTTTCTAATGCTGCACATATTTGTTTTGTGTTTAAATTTGATACTTACTGTATTGCTTCATTGAGTGAATAATTGCTGAAAAAATTTCCACTTGCTTACCTCTTTGAAAGATTGGATGACCTCCAGCAATGAAGATGATAGCCTTGAAGATGTAGGAGATGCAGATGAAGGGACCCCGTTTGTGACTCTCGAGGGGGGACTGAAAATTCCAGAAACAATATTCGACAATCTTTTTGACTATCAGAAGGTCGGTGTGCAATGGTTATGGGAGCTCCACTGCCAGAAAGCTGGAGGGATTATTGGGGACGAGATGGGACTTGGTAAAACCATACAAATTTTGGCTTTCCTTGGATCATTGCACTATAGTGGTATGTACAAGCCGAGCATAATTATTTGTCCAGTAACTCTACTGAGGCAGTGGAAACGTGAAGCCAAGAAATGGTACCCTGGCTTTCATGTGGAGATATTACATGATTCTGTTCAGGAAGAACCCAGTAGGAAAAAGCAATCTGAATTGGATGAAAGTGATTCTGATAGTGAAGGTTCCACTAACAGTGACCTTGAAGAAAAGCCACCGTCCAAAAAAACCAACAAGTGGGTTTCTTTGATAAACCGAGTTGTGAGATCAGAATCCGGGCTGTTGATAACAACGTATGAGCAACTCCGTCTGAAAGGTGACAAATTGCTTGATATTGAATGGGGATATGCAGTTTTAGACGAAGGGCACCGCATCAGAAATCCTAATGCAGAAGTCACTCTCGTTTGCAAACAGTTGCAAACTGTTCATCGCATAATAATGTCAGGTTCTCCAATTCAGAACAAGCTGTCTGAATTGTGGTCTTTGTTTGATTTCGTGTTCCCTGGAAAGTTGGGTGTCCTTCCCGTATTTGAGGCTGAATTTGCGGTTCCAATATCTGTAGGCGGTTATGCTAATGCGACTCCCTTGCAAGTATCCACTGCATACAGGTGCATATTTCTTTGGTATCGTGCATCCCATGACTTTGTATAAAAGTTTCGTCTCAAGACGTAGCTGAAGTTTTGAAAGCACACTTTTCAAAGATCTACTTTGATTTCTTTTCTTTCCTTTTTATTTTGAAAATCAGTAAGTCCCAAGTTATGGTTCCTTAAGTTTTGATCATCTTTTACCTCAGTATTCACCTAGTTTGGCTTCTCCATGTATTTTGATCATGCTGGGGAAAACTAATTTATGCAGATGTGCTGTTGTTCTACGTGACCTGATCATGCCGTACCTCCTCCGGCGAATGAAGGTGGATGTAAACGCTCAGCTCCCAAAAAAGACTGAACATGTACTCTTCTGTAGCCTTACTCCCGAACAGCGATCGGTGTATCGTGCGTTTCTCGCCAGCTCGGAGGTCGAACAAATTTTTGATGGCAGTAGAAACTCTTTATATGGAATAGACGTGATGCGTAAGATCTGCAATCATCCTGATCTTTTAGAGAGAGAGCACTGTTATGGGAATCCTGATTACGGGAATCCAATACGCAGTGGAAAAATGAAAATTGTTGCAGAAGTTCTTAACGTGTGGAAAGAGCAAGGGCACCGTGTTCTTCTCTTTTCGCAAACACAACAGATGCTTGATATTATCGAGTGTTTTCTGAAAGATGGTGAGTACTGTTACCGGAGGATGGATGGCCTGACACCTGTCAAGCAGAGAATGGCTCTGATAGATGAGTTCAACAATTCGGATAATGTATTCATCTTCATCTTGACGACCAAGGTTGGTGGCCTGGGTACAAATCTAACTGGTGCAAACAGAGTCATCATTTTTGACCCCGACTGGAACCCCTCAACTGATATGCAGGTCCACGTTATGGCTGGTCTTTATGTCAATATGCATATTTTTTCAGAATATTTTGAAGCTTATATATATATATATATATATATATATATATATATGTGTGTGTGTGTGTGTGTGTGTCTGTGTGTCTGTGTGTCTGTGTGTGTGTGTGTGTTCCAATATCACAACTCCTGAATTCAATACAAAGCATCTCATATTGTGATTTGTTTGGCTGTTCATTATTGTGGGGAGGGAGGTTATAGTTTTATTAGTGCTTTTGATGTGGCTCATGCGAATGAATTATTCAGAAGTAAAAATAAAACCTTGGGTACTTGAAAACTAAAAATAAAAGTGGAAAAAAATAACTTCTCCTACTTGTGGTTGATCTGAATTTTCTTTGATGGTTTAAGGCAGGCTCGTGAGCGTGCTTGGCGCATTGGTCAGACAAAGGACGTGACAGTCTATAGATTGATTACCCGTGGGACCATTGAAGAGAAGGTTTACCATAGACAGATATACAAACATTTCCTAACCAATAAGATATTGAAAAACCCTCAGCAGAAAAGATTCTTCAAGGCCCGGGACATGAAGGATCTCTTCACGTTGAATGATGACTGTGATGGTACTGAGACGTCTAGTATATTTAGTCAGTTGTCTGAGGAGGTAAATATAGTAGGGGCCTGCAAAGGGAAGCAGGAGGAACCAAAACGCTCAAGACCTTGTTCATCACGTGTTAATGGCCCTGTAACTGAACCTGGAAACAATGTGGAAAGTGAAAATGCAGGTGAAGGCAAAGCCTATGCTAATAGCGGTGATATGAAGGCGGATGAAGAAACTAGCTTCTTGCAGAGTCTGTTTGATGCGCATGGGATTCATGTGAGTTATATTTCTTTTGAACATTTGTTGTGTTGGAATTTGAATTATGCTACACTTTCCTGGTTTGTCGTGTTAGAATCTCTGGCTGAAAGATCTTTTATTTGTTATGGGCATGAAGGGTTATGTGATATACATAAAAGGTGTAGAAGGATAGGTTCATTGGAGTTGGCTCATTCTAGCAAGAACCAATTTAACTACATTTTTAGGAATAGCAACATAAAATGCACATTAGATTTAGCAGCCGAACTATAAACAAAAAAAAACAAAATCGTTCATCTTTCAGAACGTACAGATAGACTTTTTTCTATTTTCACAAATTGCACCCGCAAGACTAGGATAGTATCTGTAACTGTAAGGTAAATATGGTGTTTACAGGATACGGAAGGGGGGATGTTAATTTTCGTTTGGAAAGCATTCCCAGCATTTTTATTTTTGTCTTTATGCTTTTTTTTTTTTCTTTTTTT